CACACACATATATATATATACATATAATTGATTTCAGGGAGGAAGGGAGAGAGACATAGAAACATAGAGGCCCAGTGCATGAATTCATGCACAGGTGGGGTCTGGCCTGGCCAGGGGGAAGGGGATGCGGGAAGTTGGCCAGCCGGCCCTGCCCCCTGGTTGAACTCCCTGTTGAACTCCTGGTCGAACTCCCAGTCAAGGGGACAATTTGACAATTAGGCTTTTCTTATATAGAATGAGAAAGAATCATTGATCAGTTCTTCCTGCACGCCCCCTACTGGAGATCAAGCCCACAACCTGGTCATGTGCCCTGACTAGGAATCGAACTGTGACCTCCTGGTTTGTAGGTTGATGCTCAATCACTGAGCCATGCTGGTGGGGCAATAGCCCACGCTCTTAACCACTATGCCATAGTAACTTCCTCATAAATAAAGTGTGTCTGTCTGTGTCATTTACAGCCATGTGTGGTGGGGAGCTGTCTGCTGTGGCTGGGGTAGTGCTGTCCCCGAACTGGCCAGAGCCGTATGCGGAAGGTGAAGATTGTATCTGGAAGATCCACGTTGGGGAGGAGAAACGGATCTTCTTAGATATCCAATTGTGAGTGTTTATCGGTGGGCCCCCACCCAACTCATTCAGACTTGGGAAGAAATTGGTCCTGCTTTATTATTTCAACCAATATTAAATAAGCATCTACTATTTGTCAGGGGCTGTGCAAAGAACTGGGGTCCCAGTGGTGAAGGAAACAACCTCATACCCACAGAGAGAAAGCCCCTATGCTCAGGAAATTCTGACTACTAAAGAAGCAGGCACTAAATGAGGAAATAAACCAATAATTGTGTACTGTAACTCTGATCACTGATGTAAGGATAGGTGTGTGGTGCTATAACGGAGATTCTGTAATGGAGATGTGATATAAAGAGGAAGATCAGGAAAGCCTTCCTTGGGGATTTGATGCTAAAGCTCAGAACTAAAGGATGGGTTGGAGTGGTGCACCCACAAGGAACAGAACATGCAAAGGTCCTGCGGCCAGAGAAACAGCATTTTCAAAGGACTGACTGTCTGGGGATGCCAGGAGGAGGAGGGTTCTATAACACAGACTCTCTGTGTTGCAGTAGTTTACTTCCTGTCTGTCTCTCTCAACTACACTAGCAGGTCCTTGCAGTCAGAGCCTGGTCTGACTAAACTCTGTTCTAGGGTCTAAGACAGGGCATGACACATACTAGATACTCAGTAAATGGTTTCTCAATGAAGAAATGCTATATGAATGGACTTACTGCCTGTGTGGCTGTTTCCTGTACTCATTGATGGTACCTCTTAAATGTTCCAATTAAAATGTCCCCCACCAATGCCCCATGGCCAGTGTTTGCACACAGTAGGTGCACAGCCTGGTAGGGACGTGGAGAAAAAGCTTTCCTGAGAAAGTAGCATCGAAGTCAGGGGTGATGTCCCCAGGGGGGCACTTGACAGTATCTAGAGGCATTTCTGGTTGTCACAATTGATGATGGGCGGGAGAGCTACCGGGATCTAGTGAGAAGAGTTCAGGGATGCTGCTGAGCATCCTACACTGCACAGGACAGCCTCACCACAAAGAATTAGCCAGCCCCAAATGGCCATCGTGCCAAACTAGAGAAACCCTCATCTATGCCGAGACCTGAAAGACAGATAGAAGATGGGCAAAGATGGACGGGAACAGTGTTCCAACCCAAAGGAATAGCATGTGCTAAGGTCCAGAAGCAGGAAAGCACCATTCTCCTTTGTCCATGATATCAGACATGTGCTGAACACATAGTGCATCCCAGGCCTTCACATCCTGGGCGCCTCACAACAAGCACATGCAGTGGGTTCCGTGATTAGCTCCATTTTACAGATGAGTAAACTGAGGCTCAGAGAGATGATCACCTGGCTGGGAACTGGCGGGGCTAAGATTCACACTCAGCTGGCTGGGTCTCTAGGACCTGGGAGGAAGCCCTGTGTATCCAGAGCTCAGTGATACAGAGGTAGCAGTGGAATCAGGCAGGGCCATGAAGGTCGCACTGGGGAGTCTGGATTCGCCCTAATTGGGTAGCAGAGGAAGGGCGTTAAGCAGTTAACAGGATTAAAACTTTGCCGAGGGGAGCCCAGTCCTCCAGTCACCAGCCCGGGGCTTTCTCTGGCCAACTCTGGCACACACTTGGCAGCATGGCATCTGGACGGATTCACACCCGACTGGCTGGGTCTCTAGGGCCTGCGAGGAAGCCCTGTGTATCCGGAGCTCAGTGATATAGGAGGTAGCAGTGGAATCAGGCAGGGCCACGAAGGTCGCACTGGGGAGTCTGGATTCGCCCTAATTGGGTAGCAGAGGAAGGGCGTTAAGCAGTTAACAGGATTAAAACTTTGCCGAGGGGAGCCCAGTCCTCCAGTCACCAGCCCGGGGCTTTCTCTGGCCAACTCTGGCACACACTTGGCAGCATGGCATCTGGACTTGGCACCCTCTTCCTCCCCCAGAGGGAGTGAAAATAGCATCTCACCAGCGAGGGTTACGTGAGGCCCGAGAGCTGCTGGGTTTAATTTATCTCGTTTGGTTTCCGCTGACAGTTTTAGTAAACCAATTTGAGTTTGATAGTAAAAATAATTTTGTCCTCAGGGCCCCTCAGCCCTGCCTAAGTGTTTGCAATTGTCATGTATCACAGTGGCCCGGAAGGAAGCATTTGCACTGCAGACCGAGGTGGGTAGGTGGCCCACAGTAGGCGCTGGGCAGTGTTTGCTGAGTCATGAGGACACAGCCACGTGTGCCCCGCACGTGGGGACTTTTTTCCTCCCTCATCTACTGGGCAGGTCTGTTGATGCTGTGGGCATTTAAGATAATGGTTCTAATGAGTCACTATTTATATGGGACCTACTATGTGCTGGGTAGTTTATATCCATGAGCAATAATGAATGTGCACATTATTATGTAGAGATAATAATGACATAATTTAAAGCTAATGTGAGTAGAGATCATTATAGAGGGGTGATCATCCGATTTGGAGATAAGGTATGCAGAGCACATTGCATGGGGTCTGGCGCATAGTGGGAGCTTCATAAATGGAGATCACGGTTACCAAGAATCCTTGTAAGGCAGATATTACCATCATTATGTTGTGGATTTGGAACTGACAGCACAGAGAGGTTAAGTGGCTTCCTCAGGTCACACAGCCAGGAAAGGATAGAGCCAGAGTTTGCACACACCAAAGCCTCCACTTCCATTGACTTAAACAGCCTTTGGGGGGACCAGCTATATGTCTGTGATGAAGCAAGGGGCTCCCGGACATCGCTCAAGTTCAGGAAGAGACGTAGGACCATAAATAAACAAGGTGAGAAGCTGTGGATGACGGGGTGGGGATGGGGGCGTAGCGGGACGCTGGATTTACCTCGGCGGGTTGTAGAAATGTCACAAAGAGGGCGACATCCAAGCAGAATCTTGAGTGTTGGTCAACCTGCAATGGAGACAGGGCTTTCCAGGAGGGGTCCATGAGAGCAAAGGATTCAAGCAAGTGCAAACAGTGACTGTTAGGTGCCCAATGGATGCCCGGAATTGCAGCAGCAATTAGGATCATCTGCTTTGCATTACTGCTTTGGCGGTGGGAAGAGGTGCACAGTCTTAAAATGAGCCAGGAGCCCCCAGGCTAAACCTCCTCCGCACCCCAAATACCTAGTCCCTAACGGTCCATGAACCTCCCAGCGCCATCAGGGGATCTGCCACTTAACGCTAAAACACAACTGAGCGTGAACTTTTTAAATCCTTAGGGATATGTTAAATATCTATCTATCTTCTATCTATCTCAAAATAAAGCATAGAATGGCAAACAAAACAACTAAGGAATTATTGGTGAAGACATCGAAGAATGGAAGACCTGGGAGGGGCCCAGAGAGGGGAGGTAACTTATCCGGCATCACACAGCAAGTCAGAGTTGGGACCAAATAGACAACTGAGCGTGGCTGCAGAAGCTGAGCACAGAGGCCACAGCCTTGAAAATGCCATGTGACCAGGGAGCTGCCGAAGCTTCCAGAGTCCAAAAGAGCTGCCGGGAAATCCCGACTATGCTGCTCACCAGCTCTGTGGCCTCGGAGGGTGGGGGTGGTGGGGGGGTGCTACCTGCCTCACTTTATCCCCAGAGCCAGGCACCTAGTAAGTGCTCAGTAAATATCTATTAAATTTAAATTTTTACAAGAGAGATGGTGAGTGTGGAAGTTAACCAGATAAGCAAAGATCTTAGTAAGGTTTCTGACATAAACAAATACCCTCAGTTAATTCTAGTTTCACACACACACACCCCATTATATGCCAGGTTTTACGCTAAACACTTGGCGTGCATTATTTCAGGGATGATGTTGGCCATCGTAGTCTCATCAGTATCATCGTTGAAATCAATGTCTGATGTTCATTGAGCATCTACTATTTGCCAGTTACTAAGGCAAGTCATTTAACTCTTACAAAGAAAGCTATGTGATATCACTGTGCCTAGCTCCCTTTTATAAATAAGGAAACTGAGGCTTAGAGGGGGGAAGTCACACAGCCAAGGTCACGCAGCTAGGAAGAGGCCAAGTCAAGACTTGAACTCAGGCCCTAATTGGTTTGGCTCAGTGGATAGAGCATCGGCCTGTGGACTCAAGGGTCCCGGTTTCGATTCCGGTCAAGGGCATGTACCTTGGTTGCGGGCACATCCCCAGTAGGGGGTGTGCAGGAGGCAGCTGATCGATGTTTCTCTCTCATCGATGTTTCTAACTCTCTATCCCTCTCCCTTCCTCTCTGTAAAAAATCAATAAAATATATTTTTTAAAAAAGACTTGAACTCAGGTCTCCGGGGCCAACACCAGTGTTATAACCACACAATAAATGGTAGTGAGGTGCTCAACAAAGGAGAAAGCCCTAGCCCCATCTTACAGAAGAAGAAACTGAGGCTCAGAGAAGTAACACCCCTCCCCCCCATTCCCCGGGCACCTATTGCAAATATATGTCTATCTCTGAAGGAAAAAAGTTTCCACCAAGCTCTACCGTCCCTTCCCTCGCTCCACTGCAAAGCCCAGCCCTAAATATCTCCGTTTAGGGGCCTCAGCACAGTTCTTTAACGAGGAAATAAAAGGATCTAATAGCAAAGCTCAATAACCACATGATTGATAGCGGAAGAATGTTTCTCTTCAGCCGCTGCCAATCTGCTTGGTGCTAAGTTAATTCCACACCTTAAATAGCAAGTGCCTTGTCCAGAGGCCCTTCAATCGTTCAGTGATATCGCTGCTTCCAGCTGCAAGAATTCAGCTTGGGAGCCAGGCAAGAAGGGAGAGTCAGGAGTCAAGGGCAGCACTGGCCCCAGAAGCACAGATGTTCAGACACCAGCCGAAATCATGGGTGAAACAACCATCATAGAAACAAAAGTCTTCCAATCAGCAGAGGGAGATGGGATGTCCCCAGAGCCAAAGGTCTAAGGAATCCGAGAAGGAACTGTGAAGTTCATAGAGCCCAACTTCCATCATGTTGCAGGTGAAGAAACTGAGCCCCAGAGATGAGAAGAGACTGCCCCCAGACCACTCTGTCAGTCAGCTACTGCTGCGTAACAAATTAATCCAATCTCAACAGCATG